TCTCGAACTGTCTCTGAAGAAAGCCGAAAGCGAGAAACAGGTAAGTAGGGATGCACTTAATCGAAATAGGATATAGTTTTATTAAACTATAAATTCACATTTGTAGGCTCGTGACCACAATATTCGCTCCTTGCAAGATGAAATGGCCAATCAGGATGAAGCTGTTGCCCGTCTCAACAAGGAGAAGAAACATCAAGAGGAGGTACACTAATTGAACACAATTAACTTATCAACATTGAATGAATGCAGGTCAATCGCAAACTTATGGAAGATCTTCAAGCGGAAGAAGATCGCGTGAATCATATGGAGAAAGTTAGAGCCAAACTTGAGCAGCAGCTGGATGATCTCGAAGATGCTATGGATCGTGAGAAGCGATCACGACAGGATCTGGAAAAGTGGGGATTGTCTTGTATGTGCTGCACATCTCGTCGACAACTTCCATGATTTGCAGGGCCAAGCGAAAGGTTGAGGGAGAACTTAAGGTTGCCCAGGAGAACATTGACGAAATCACAAAGCAGAAACACGATGTTGAACAGAACTTGAAGAAGTGTGTCTTAGCAGACGTTCTCATAAAACCACAAATATTTTTGAAAAACTGTTTTGAGTCAAATTAATCTACACTTCATTCCTGCAGGAAAGAAACGGAACTACACCAACTGTCTACTCGCCTAGAAGAAGAACAATCTCTTGTTGCCAAGCTCCAGCGACAAATCAAGGAACTTCAGGCCCGTATTGCCGAATTAGAGGAGGAACTGGAGAACGAAAGGCAAAGCCGTGCCAAGGCTAGTTCTTTTGGGAGATTTCGTATAAGCATGTATGAGCTCCCATTTTAAGGCGGACCGATCGCGCTCAGAACTGCAGCGTGAGCTGGAAGAGATCAGCGAGCGACTTGAAGAACAGGGAGGTGCTACAGCCGCTCAGCTGGAAGCCAATAAGAAACGCGAAGCCGAACTCGCTAAGCTGCGCCGCGACCAAGAGGTACCATACTTTAATCTTCATAGTTGAAAGTTGAAATAAATACCAGTATTAAGGAAGCTAACCT